ACAGTCCACACAGTCCACACAGTCCACACAGTCCACACAGTCCACACCTCAATATTAAGCGACCATTGTGGAATGATTAAATGTCTCCCGGAGGCTGTAGGCCTCAGGTCTTGTTGACGGCTCGACAGTGTAACCACAACCGCACATGATAGCTGGGGGTGGGGGCGTGGCCTGATGGACGTCCGACGCGTCCAATAAATGACGAAGTAGCCGAACACGCCCCCTGCCTGAACCAATGGAGAGAGGGGCGGGGGTTCGGGCGAAACAGCAAGTTCGGTTGACCGTCCCCGATCAGGAAGAATAAAACAAAACACGTTTTTAATACGGCCAGGTTTTATATATCTTGCTTCTCGAAGATCAGGGAACGAATTCCGTGTTTTTTGCCTTGCGGGGAGGACGGGTATTTTTTTTTGAAAACCGAATACGTTAGTAGGCGCCGGTTGGAGCAAGATGGCGGGCGTGACGGACGGACGGGCGTTCCAATGGGAGCGGGATGCGGACACTTCCGGCGGAGGGGGACGGCCAATCGGTGCCAGCGTGAGGGGCGGGGCGCGTCGCTCGGGCCCAAGGCCGAGGGGTTTGAGGTAAAAAAAAATCATCATTTATTATTATTTTTTAGTTTTTTTTTTAAAGCGAACAGCCGCCGGCGGGGGGTGGGTGTCTGTGGAAGGCGAAAGTGGGGGAGGGTTTGATTTACTCTTCACCCCGCCCCCACCCCGAGGTTGGGGGTAAATAGCGGGGGGAGGGGATAGGAGGGTAAAGGGGGGTATGTGTGTGTGTGTGGGGGGGGGGGTGAGTTAGAGAGATTGTATGATTCACACTACCACCCCCCCCCCCCCCCCCCATCTCCATCACCTGAGGACGGGAGGGAGGGATTTATAAATGGGTGTGTTTCTGGTGGGGGGTGATTCCAAGGGGGTAAATAATGGGAAAGGGAGGGTAAAGGGGTTTGTGTGTGTGTGTGTGTATAATTAGAGAGAATGTATGATTCACACCCCCCCCCAATCTCCATCACCTGAGGACGGGAGGGAGGGGTTTATAAATGGGTGCGTTTCTGGTGGGGGTGGGGGTTGATTCCAAGGGGGTAAATAATGGGGAAGGGAGGGTAAATGGGCAGTGTATGTCTGTGTGTGGGGGGGTTAATTAGAGGAAATGTATGATTTACCTTCCCCCCCCCCCCGCTCCATCACCTGAGGATGGGAGGGGTTTATAAATGGGTGTGTTTCTGGTAGGCGGGTGATTCCAAGGGGGTAAATAATGGGGAAGGGAGGGGAAAGGGGTTTGTTTGTGTGTGTGTGTAATTAGAAGAAATGTGTGATTCACCCCCCGCCCCCCTGAGGATGGAAGGAAATGGTGTATAAATGGGTGTGTTTTTGTCGGGGGGTGGATTTCAAAGGGTAGATAATGGGGAAGGGAGGGTAAAGGGTCAGTGTGTAGGGGGTAATTAGAGGAAATGTATGATTGACACTCCCACACCAGCGCCATCATCTGAAGATGGGGGGGGGGTTTATAAATGAGTGTGTTTCCTGGAGTGGGGGGTGGATTTCAAGGGGGTAAATAATGGGGAAGGGAAGGTAAAGAGTCTGTGTGTTGGGGGGGTAATTAGAAGGAATGTATGATTCACACCCCCTCACCACCACCACCACCTCCTCCATCACCTGAGGATGGGAGGTGGAGGGTTATAAAAGGGTGTGTTTCTGGTGGGCCGGATTCCAAGGGAGTAAGTAATAGGGAGGGGAGGGTCAAGGGTCCGTGTGTGGTGCGGGGGTAAATTAGAAGGAATCTATGATTCATCAACCACCAGCTCCATCACCATCACCTGAGGATGGGAGTTATAAATATCTGTGGGAGGTGGGTTGGTGGAACCCAAGGGGTAAATAATGCAGATGGGGGTAAAGGGTGTGTGTGTGTGTGTGTGTGTGTGTGTGTGTGTGAGTGAGAGAGAGAGAGAGAGAGCTTGCAGGGGGTGTTAAAGGGTGAGTGCAGGGGCAGACAGAGGGGGTTAAAGGGTGCGTACAGGTGGGGGTAAAGGGTATGTGCAGGGGGTGGGGACGGGGTGGTAGAGGGTGTGTTTGGGGCGGAGGATGTTAGAGTGTGCGTACGTTTGAGCGGGGAAAAGAGGAGGATACTTAGAGAGACAATATGATTCTAGGCTGTGGGTAAATGGTAGAGGTGTGCATTGGAGAAACTGTGATTCCACCCCATGCTCCCTTAGCAAAAGAAGGGGTTGGTAAGTGTGCGTATGTGTGGTGGGGATAAGGGATCCGGGGGAGGGGAATAAATGTCAGGAAGGGGGTGATTGGAGAGCGTATGACTTACCTGCCCCCGTCTGGCCCAAAGAAGGGGGAGGAATAAGTGTGTTTCTGAGTGGGGAAGCGCAAGCCATTGGTGAGAAGGGGAGGGGTTGATGGTTTTGCCCTCATTATCTGCACCCCTCTCTTCCCTCCCCCCTTTGCACTTTAAATGCTGTTTCTCCCCCTCCCCAAGCAGGTTGAATGTCCACATCCCATTTCCCTCCAAAACTAGCTTTTGAGGGGGTGGGGGTAAATCCCCTTTCTCTGAAGTGGCATCAAGGAATTAACATCCTTTAGGGAAGGACACTGCCACCCTTACCCAGTCTGGGCCTACATGTGACTCCAGACCCACAGCTGTGTGGTTGGCTCTTAACTGCCCCTCTGGGGCAATAAGTAGTGGCCAAGGCAGAGATGCCCACATCCCACAAGTGAATAAATTAACTGTGGCTTGTGAATTGTGAGTTTTGTCATTTTAGTCTGGTAATGCATAAACAGGTTTCTCTGACTGATGTTTCTGTCTCCTGCTCGTAACTTTTGTGTTTGTTTTTGTATGTGTGTGTTGGGAAGAGGGTGCAGACTTTAAAAGTTGCATAAATTAGGAATCCATTCCTTTTACTGGTCTTGGTAATGTTAAGGGTCTTGCAATAAATACTTCTTTTCGTTGTTACTGAAGGAAACCTGTTGTGAATGGGACTGATGAGACTGGCGTATCAGGAGGGATTGACTAGGTTAGGATTGTTTTTGCTGGATTTCAGATGAATCTCGGAGACTTTTTTATTTATTCACGGGCTGAGGGAATCACAGGTTAGGCAGTATTTATTGCCTGTCCCTAATTGCCCAGTTGAGAGTCAACCACATTGCTGTGGGTCTGGAGTCACATGTAGGCCAGACCAAGTAAGGATGACAGTTTCCTTCCCTAAAGGGTATTACTGAACCAGATGGGTTTTTCCCAACAATCAACAATGGATTCACATTCATCATTACATTCTTAATTTCAGATATTTATTGAATTCAAATTCCACATCTGCCATGACGGGATTCGAACGCGGGTCCCTATAATGGCATCTAGATTAATAGTCTAGCGATAATACCACTAGGCCATTGCTTCCCCTTATAAAATTCTAACAGGACTGGATAGACTAGGTGTAGGAAGGATGTTCCCGATGGTGGGCGTGTCCAGAAACAGGGGTCTTGGCCTGAGGATTCAGGGTAGACCATTTTGGACGGAGATGAGGAGACATTTCTTCAGCCAAAGAGTGGTGAGCCTGTGGAATTCATTACCACAGGAAGTAGTTGATGCCAAAACATTGAATGTATTCAAGAGGCAGCTAGATATTGCACTTGGGGCGAATGGGATCAAAGGTTATGGGGAGAAAGCAGGATTAGGCTCATGGCTGATCGCCCAACTCGTGATGAGCGGCTGAGCAGACTTGAAGGGCTGAATGGCCGCCACCTGCTCCTATCTTCTATGTTTCTATGAATTGTTTTAATTCTGGGTGGTAGTCCAGGAGGAGTTGGGCTTATTTCTAGCGCACTGCCCTAGTTGGTTGAGCCAATGTTACACTCGCCTACTGATGACACAGGCTTTTTAAAAACGGTGTTTCATTCCTTTGAGGGTGGAGGCATGTAAGGGACCGTAATATACGCAGCATCTTGGGATGATAAACGGATATAGAAGTTGGACTGCTACAGAGCTGACATAATCAGGGCAGGTCTGCAACTGGAAACTGTCAAATGCTGTGCATTTTTCCCCACGTTGTCTGGCACGGCTTTTTGAAGCTGTCAGGGCGAGAGCTGGGAACTGAGCGACACCAAGATGTATTTGGGTTAAAAAATTCAACTAGGTGATTGCCCTCTGGTTAAGCTGTAACGAGGTGCAAGTGTGGCAGAAATGTCTGTCTTTTTTTCCCTTTTCCCTCTCTCACTCTGTCCTTTCCCCCCTCCTCCTGATCCCAGCCCCCAGCCCCCACCCCCGTAGGCCCCTCTTCCCACCCTTCCATCCCCAATATATTGTTTTCCTATGCATAGTAACTAATTTGAGCCATTTGTCTTTTGTCAGTCTTAATTGTGAGTGTGTGTGTGTGTGTGTGTGTGTGTGTGTGGGGAGGGGTTGGGTTTTTATCAGGGTTGAGTTTAAGTTGCTTGGTAGCAGATCAGGATTCTTATTGTTTGCGATTAGACGCATACAGCACAGAAACGGACACTTTGGTCCAACTTGTCCGTGCCAACCAAGTTTCCCAAACTAAATCTGTCCCATTTGCCTGCACTTAGCCCATATCCTTCTAAATATTTCCTTTTCATGTATCTATCCAAATGTCTTTTAAATGTTGTGCCTGTGCCCGTGCCTGTACCTGCACCGACCACTTCCTCTGGCAGTTCATTCCACATACAAACTCTGCTCCACATGAAAAAGTTGCCCCTTAGGTCCTTTTTAAATATTTCCCCTCTAGTTTTGGACTCCCCCCACCCCGGGGAAAAGACCTTTTGCTATTCACCCTATCCATGTCCCTCATAATTTTATAAACCCTTATAGGGTCACCTCTCAGCCTCGTACGCCCCAGGGATGAGTCCTGGCTTTTCCAGCCTCTTTGGAGCCCACAGCATCCAGACTGATCTACCTGTAATCCCCAGTTGATTTGCAGGACTGAACATTGTCCAATCGCTGTACTGCAAGGACACAGATCCCTGGTTTCTGGGAGAACCGAGTGCCTGACTGATCGCAGCCAACCCCCTTGACTGGAATTAGAAACGAACCCTTGACCAACTGTGGTTGTACCCTCTAAGTGTTCCCATTAGCGACTGCTCCTCTCTGACATTCATACACAGGCTTGTTTGCTTTAAGCTCGCATGGTGTCTGCCCCACAATCTGCTGTAAGTGTGAAATTGGACATGGTGCTGTACAGCGACGTGTCTACCCGCCCTTGACTGTTCAGTGCTCCTTACTGTGACCAGCTGCTGCATCTTTGTCAGTGCTTAAAAGCAATGGCAGCCACAAAGGATGGCAGACCCTGGACAGTGGCTGAAGTCAACGAACACGTGCTTAGAAAGCAATATGGGAGGTTTACAGCAGCTAGTAAGCTCAAATGTGTGCACACAGGCAACGAATGATAAGAAATGAAACTCGGGCACAGGTGTATCCCGTACGTATGTATGAGAAGCATGCACACAAGTCAAATGGCTTCAGTGCAAGGACAGAAGTGGTGTGTGTCCTCTCCAAGAGCAGGTATGACCATCATCAGCACCTTCACAGAGAGACAATGGGCCTCACCCTGAGCATCAGCAAGACAAAG